TCCTTTCTTGCTTAAACTAAAAGCAAAAAGCACTTGAAACTTCATCTCACATACCTCAGTCCCACACAGATGGCGCGCTTTGCCTTGTCTTACAAATCTCAGATGAACGTTGACTTTCCATGCACACACCAGTACCTCCAGGGAACGAGATGACACATGCACACCGCATCCACCTCCCCATCTCCGTCCCTCTCCCTGGGATGTTTTCTTTCACACACAGCAGTGTCACTTGCTTCCTAACTAACATGCGACTTCTCTGTGTTACTGATGTTGGTCTCAGAATAACTGTCAGGATTCCTCTCTCTTTACTCCCTCACATCTGCCAGCTTTTCAGTTCCTCCTCTATGGATCCTAGAGACAATGGCTGAATTCCTTCGCCCCCTTTTACCATCTTTTGTTTTCCTTCATCGCTTAGCAGCAGGTGAAGAAACACTGTTAAGTGACTGGTAAAAACATTCCTGCTCAGCTACCCCAGGCAATGTTACTTTTCCCCCCTCTCTTCTCCATTTGCATAAAGATGTTTCAAGATCAGTGTACATGCCTCAAGCTGTATATTCTTTGATTGAATTCACATGTTAAAATCCTCATAGTAGAAATACAGACATAGATAGAAGTGTAAATAATTAAGAATTGGCTGTTAAGGAAAAAGGTTGGTGATTCACATCTTATCTAGGGGCAACTCAGAAGAAAGGCCTGGCGCTTCACTTCTGAGAAAGCAGCGTGGGTGATCCTGGGAGCATAGTTCTCCTCTAATAGGCGAGTTGTGGCCGTGTCTCAGAGTCACCTGTGAGCCCTGACTGGGCATGGCTGGCTGGATGTGAAGCATCTGCTGTGTTCCGTGCCAGGCCGTTCTTCATTAACTATAGTTGTCACAGCCACCCCATTGCTGCTATTGTGCCCCATTGAGGTAGCACAGACTCACAGTTGACCCTCTAGCAGGTTTTCAGAGGCAGTCATTGCATGGGAAGAAATTACCCCTCTTTCTCCCAGGTAGCAACTGGAGGATTTGAACTGCAAATTGGGAAGGTTGTACGCCAGGCATGTGTCCTGTCTCCATACCTTTTCAGCCTGTATGCAGAACACATTATCCGGGAGGCTGGGCTCTATGAGGAGAAGTGTGGCGTCAGGATTGGTGGAAGATCTATTAACAGTCTGCGTTATAAAGATGACACAACTCTGACGCACTTGCTGCAGAGGGTCAAGGACTGCAGCCTCCAATATGGATTGAGACTCAATGTCAAGAAGACAAAGAGTCTCACCACTGGACCAATTGACAACATCATTATGGATGGTGAAGAGATTGAGATTATTCACAGCTTTAGTTTGCTTGGCCCCACAGTCTTTGCTCTTGGCACCAGCATCCAGGAAATGAAAAGACATATTGTTATGGGAAAGTCTGCTGTTAGGGATCTCTCCAGGGTACTGAAGAGCAATGGTGTCATTCTGGAGACTAAGGTGCACATGATACAGGCCATGTTCGTTGCAGTCACTTGTTATGCATAAGAGAGCTGGACAATGATTAGAAGGATAGAAGGAGAATTGATGCCTTTCAGCTGTGATACTGGAGAGAATGTACCATGGACTGCTAAGAAAACAAATAGGTTCAACCTGGACAGGGTTAAACCAGGCTGCTCCTTGGAGGCAAGGATTTTGAGGCTTTGTCTGACATATTTTGAACATGTTGCAAGGAGGGACCAGTCCTTGGAGAGGGACATCATGCTTGGGAGGGTGGAGGGATAGTGCAGGAGGGGAAGGCCTTCTTTGAGGTAGACTGATTCAGTGACTGGGGTAATCGTGGGTGTGTCAGAGACAGTGCGATTGACACAGGACAGAGCAGAGTTTAGGGCTGTTGTACATAGGGCCGCTATGAGTCGTGAGCGACTTGATGGCACATAACACCTTCAGGTTAACAGCACACCTCTTTCCCACTAACCCATCCCTCTAGGTGAATATGAGCTTTATGTTGTAAATGATGAGCTGAGGTTGGAGAAGGGTAAGCAACTTCTCAAAACTCTGATGGTTGAGTCTGCAGGGAGTTACACTGCTAACCCCTAAAATGACATGCCTCTTTGGTGGTTCGAATCCACTGGCGGCTCTGCAGAAGAAAAAGCAGTCTCATGCATGAAGTTTACAACTTCTGAAAACCTGCTGGAGGGTCAGCAGTGAGTCAGTCCTGATGGGAAAGCGATGAGTTAGAGGTATTATTTTGGGATGAGAGACCTAGAAAACTTACACACTCTGCTCTACAGCGTGGGGGCAGCTGGGGGGGGGGAGTCTTGGGCCATAGTATTGTTACCTCTTTGTTGCTTTTGAGTTTATGTCCAGGTTTCTGCCTTTGGTACCTGCTTGTGGTGGAGCAGAAATACCACAGAGGCCTTTGAAGACATTTAATTTCTCTCCCTTCAGGAGGCTTGAAGTAAGGGCATGGCTCTTGGCCTATTTCAGCTTCGAGTACTTACTTACTTGCCTGCAGCATTTCTGGGCTCGTTTCTTCCTCCCTTTTCCCCCTGTGTCCGTTCTGTCCTTTTTGAAGTTCAGAAATGATTAGACTTAGAGCTCATCCTTATTCAGATAAGAACTCGTTAACATAATGAATCAAATCCCCTGTTTCCAACTCTCATTCCCATCAAGTCAGAACTGGCTCCTCGCTGACCCTCCAGCGGGCTTCTGAGAGTGTGCCGCCATGGGAGGAGATTGCCCATCTTTCTCCCTCAGAGGACAGTTGGATTCAAAACATCGGAGAGGCACGGTTACCGGCACAACTGCCTATGGACTTTGCTACTGGAATTCCCTACTATTTCCAAACAAGGCCATGTCTACAGACGCAGGAGTTAAGACAGCACATACTCTTGGAGGACACAATGGAATCCATCATTACTGTCTACACGATAGGATCATCAGTTGCCACGGCTGATGGCCAGTCACTCAAGAACTTCTGAGTGTCTGTGCTCCAGTCTTCACCTCTGTGAATCCAGAGCTAACTTGCCTCAGTATCCCCATCTGTGAAATAGGGGTGAACGTTTCGACCTTATTGGGTTGTGGGAATTATGTTAAGGAGGCATCTTGCACAATGTGTAGTAGATAATGGCTGAAGTCATTAATGTCAGCAGAGGATCTAGCAAGAGAGCATTTTTCTAAGTGGTGAAGTGCATACTTGATGTCCATGGGCCTTACTTGTCTCAGGATTTATCCATTAGATCCAGACCAATAGCATTGCCAATCTTGGGGTTTTAACTCCAAGAATTGCCTTCTACGATCCTTGGGCATGAGTTTATCATCAAACAGATGCGTCCTGGCAGCTCCTCTGGGAGTGCTGGTCTCCTTGCTGCTGGAGAGATGAACATGCATCAGAGACAGAGCTGTAGTTAATGCCCTCATGACTCCAGCTGGCAAATCAAAGAAGCAATGTCAGGAGGAAGCCAAGCCACATGCATGGCTCCTTTAAGCGTGGGGGGGCTGTTAGAAGTGCAGTAATAGAGGGTTGGTCCAAACCACAGGGCACCAGCAGGGTTTGAATTAACCTCTCCTGTAGCAACTTAGAAACACAGGACTCCAGGCGTGAATAATTATAGCCATCAAGTGCTTTTCTGAGCTCTGATTTTATCTGCAAAATCCCTTCTTGTATATAAAAATATCTAATGTGGCTTATTTCATCTTTCCTGCAACCATAAAGTACGTATCATAATCATCTTCCTTGTTACACAAGTCAGTAAACTGAGGCATATTGTTGTTACTGTGATGTGCCATCAGGTGACTGTGACTCATACCACCCTATGAGCAACAGCTCTGAACCCTGACCTATCCTGAGCCAACCTGTCTCTGACATTCCTACCCTCATTATCCCACTTACTGTGTTAATCCATTTGATTCAGTGTCTTCCTCTCTTCCACTGTCCCTCCACCCTTCCAACCATGATACCCTTCTCCAAGGACTGGCCCTTCTGACAATAAGCCCAAAGTATATGAGGTGGAGTTTCAAAATCTTTGCCTCCAAAGAGCAACCTTGTTACACCCTCTCTAGGACAGACCTGTTTGTTCTCTTGGCAGTTCATGATATGTTCAGTACTCTTCTCCAGCTCCACAACTCAAAGGCATTGATTGTTCTCTGTCACCCTTAACCACTGCCCAGCCCTCAGATGCATGACAAGTGATTGAGTAGATTGTAGAGAGTCTAAGCCACTGGCCGGAGGACACAGGTAGAGTGGGAAGAACAAGGATGCCAGTTTCTAGACATTTGGATCTTTGCCTCCGTACAGTACCCGCCTCCTGTCTGTAAACCAGGGACATGATTTTGAGGCAGAGAGTGGGGGGTTGAATGGTACCCAAGATCACTGGATGTTTTGAGTGTGAAAGTGTTGTATAAGTGTATTCGATTCATGGAGACCCCATACAAACTGGAATCAGAACATTGCCTGGTAGTGCACCCTCCTCCTTAATCAGTTGCCATCCGGGTAATTGTTATCCTTGGGATTGTCATTGGTTTGGTTGCCAGGCCTTTCCTCCTAGTCTTTCCGCATCTCACGCTCAGCTGAAACCTGTGTGACATCATAGCAGCGTGCTCACCTCCACTGACAGCTAGAGTGCATGCACCTGAGGGGTATTAACACAGGGTCCCCTTGGGTCTCCCTCACGGAAGGTGGGAATTGTATCACTGAGCCTCCAGTGACCCTTGAGAGGCTGCACACCCACTGCAGACGCGCCCCTGAAGGGGAAGTCTGGATTTCTTCCCTTGCGTCTCTCCACCAGACTGGTTCATCCCAGTCTGCATTCAGAGGAGAGCTGGCTCCTCACTGTTTTTGTTTAGACACACACACAGCACTGGGTAGACAAGAAAATTGAGGAGGGAAGAGATTAGTCTTCAACTTGGAGAGAAATGAAAGTGCCGCCATGGAGGATGGGCTGCCCAGCCCGGCGCTGGCCCCACAGGGCCCAGGCCTGTGCAGAGCCCCATCTGTCTCCCTGTGCACCTGCCCCACTAAGCTCTGCTCTCTCCCCACACAGGTAACCTGGACATCACGCCCGATGACCCCCGCTGGATCGGAGCCTGGTGGGGCGGCTTTCTGCTCTGCGGTGCCTTACTCTTCTTCTCCTCCCTCTTGATGTTTGGGTTTCCACAGTCCCTGCCCCCGCACTCAGACCCCACCATGGAAAGCGAGCAGGCCATGCTCCCCGAAAGAGAATACGAGAGGCCCAAGCCCAGCAATGGGGTCCTGAGGCACGCCCTGGAGCCGGACAGCAGTGCCTCCTGCTTCCAGCAGCTGAGAGGTAAAACTTACTTGCTCCCCCACCATTGGGATGATGGGGATGGGGATGGAGAGCGGAGTGGCCAGGCTGGCTTCCAGGCAACGTGATGTCATCAAGTCAGCCCATCAGCTGACTCTGGGTGACACTGATGTCATCGAGTCAGCCCCTCACCTGACTCCAGGCAATGCTGTGCACATTAGTGTGTCTCCAGACTTGCTGCTGTTTGTGCTTGATGTCGTAACTTACTTTGTTTTCTGAAAATAGGCGTTAAATAGCTGACATTGATTGATTGATTGATTGGATGGACAGCTAACTTGTCTTGATGGAGGCCTCAGTGGCTCACATAGACCCTGATCTCTAATGAATATCAACATCCACAGAAAGAATTAAGTGAGAGACATAGGGTATCAGACATCTCTCCTCCTCTTTTTAAATGGCTCAAGCCACTTATACAGCACATGAGAGGAGAATGTTTTGATGTCACCTTCCTTTACTGAGAGATGACTTCCTAAAATGCCACCTCCAAAGTTCATGTATTTTTTTTTATTTTTAAATTGCTTTGTTGTTATAAGAGTACAGATAACAAAACATCCGCTAAGTATTTTACATGTGCAACTCAGCGGCATCATGTGGAACCATCACCTTCATCCGTTTCCAAGTTATTCCACCACTCATAACTGAACTCCGTGTCCCCTCAGCAATGCCACCCCTTTCTCTCATCCCCGGGAACCATTGTAACCTTTGAGCTCTATGTGTTTATCTGTTTTGTATAAAGCCTTCTGCTGTCAAGTTGGGTGCAGTTCATATAGACCCTCAATCAAGTCTCTGAGGCTGTAAATCTTTTTTACAAAGGGGAAGCTTCCCACCTTTCTTGCGCAGAGCAGGTGGTGAACTCAGTTTTACATAAGTGGGGTCATGCAGTGTTTATCCTTTGTGACTAGTTTCCTTCACTAGTCAAACATTGTCAAGATGCATCCATGCTGTAGCAGGTATGAGCTCATCATTGCTCAGAAACTCAGTTATTTCAGTGAATGAATAGAGCACATCTTCTTTGTCCATTCTTCTGTTGATGGATACGTGAGTTGTTTCCACTTTTTGGCTGTTGGGAATAGTGTTCCGGGGGCATGAAGGTGCAGGTTTCTATCTGAATTCCTAATGTGAGTTATATAGGACCTCTGATGGTATAATAGCACCACACTGATCAAAAGGCTAATCAGAAGGCTGCTAGTTCGAATCCACCAGAAACTCTATGGGAAGAAAGCTTTATAGCCTTGGAAACTCAGTGCAGGGTCCCTGTGAGAGTTGGAACCAGTGACAGTAAGTTTGAGTTGTTAATCATCATGTTGAATCTGTGTAGGAGCAGAATTGCCAGATGAAAGTGCATTTCTCTTTTTCTTTTAACTAATTTTAATGAAAGTTTACAGAGGCTTAGGGTTTCCAGTTATTCATTGTTGCACCTTTCTCCCTGCCCACCCCTCCCCCTCCCCAATTCACTCTTCTCCTTGAAAAGTAAAAGAAAAACTCTTTCATTGTTCAAAGTGCATTTCTTTAGACCGGCACTGTCCCTTCATCTCCCTACATTTTTTTTTTAAAGATGTAGTTCTCTTGAAAAAAGTATTAGCAGCCAGCCTCATCATGAAGTCATCTGTTGGAATGCAGCACACTATCAATTTTAAAAGAAAAAAAAATCACATCTTTTCCACACACTGTGAGCCGTGATGAGGGAGAAGGAATGATAAGTGCCCAGGGTCAATTCCACTTTTGCATCAGATTGTTGAGGCAAAGGGATGATGGTGTAGCTGAGGGCAGCACAGCATCCTCAGTCCCAGGGATGTGGAGGGGCATGCACACTGTTCCTGGGTCCAGGGCTCCAGCCTCAGGTTCTCCGAAGGGCCTCCAGATGTTAGAAATGAGCAGTTGTTCCACGTGGGCAGGAACAAGGCTGGACACTGCCTAAAGGTGATGCTGGGTTGGGGGGAAGGGAGGTAGCTACTTTTTGGAGGAACCTCGGCACCCAGCCAATCAACCTGAGCGCTCAGTGTACGAATTTCATAGCTCCAAGTCTAACACATTGTCTGTCCCTGTATTGAGGTCTACCGTCTATATAATATGCTTGAGAATTGTCGAGAGGACTGATAGGGGTTTGAGCTTGACTCTGTTGTCCATTGGCTCTGTGAGAATTAATTGCTCCATGCTTCATTTCCACCACTGTAAAGTTGTAGCACGGTGCCTGACTGTGTTGTCATGAGAATTAAAGTGTTGATAAAAGGACATTGCATGCAGAAGACACAGAAAAATACTACCTGTTGGCAGGTGCCCCCGAGCGACGCGGTTTGACTCAGTGACTGTGTGAGCGTCAGGAGGACGCTCGCTCCAGCGCATCCTCACAGTTGTTAGTTTGAGCCCCTGTTGCAACCACGGAATCTTCTCTTTCACTGACCACCTTCTTTACAAGTGTTGTGTCCTTCTCAAAGGACAGGTGCCTCTGGAAAATGGGACCAAATTAGATAACAGAGCCTCACCATCTGCCCTTCTAAACGGCATTCCGAGACAGATCTTTTCATTCTTCTCAAACGCCAAATACTCTGAATTCTTTGTGAAGACTAGAATTCAGATGCACCAATTCCTTTTCAAGCTGTCTTACTCATTGTCCAGCTTTCACATATATAATTTTTTTGTTGTTACTACATCCCTTCAGTTCAAGTATGACTCAGTTGACCCTATGAAAAACAGGTCTGAACCCTGTCCTGTCTGTACCATCCCCATCATCTGACATACTTGAGCCCATTGCTGTCGTCAGTCACGGTGTCACTCTGTCTGGTTGTCCTCTCTTGGGCTGACCTTCCATCTGTCTAAGCATAATGTGCCTTTTCAAGGAATAGCCTATCTGAGAAAAATGCCCAAAGTATGTGTGAGACGAAGCTTCACCATCCTTGCCTCCAAGGAAAACTCCGGCTGCACTTTCTCCAAGACATACCTGCTTATTCTTTTGGCAGACCTTGGGATAGACAGTACTCTTCTCCAACACCACAACTCAAAGGCATCAGTTCTTCTTTTGTCATCCTTCTTCCTTGTCAAGCTCTCCAATGCAAAGTGACCGAAAAGACGATGGCCTGAATCAGATATATAAGGCTGTTGAAAATATTAATGACTTGACTTGAGGCAGGCTCACCTCACTCCTCCATTTGACGTTTTCAGTCTCCTTAACACTACAGTGGTCTTTTGTAGCAAATTTGCCCAGTGCAATATGTCATTTGATTTCTTTTTTAATATTTTTTTATTTTATACTGATGTACTTACAAAGCCCATATACATTGTTTTTGATACCAGATCTTCTTTTTCTTTTCCTTTATCCACTTACCCCCACCCCTGCTCTCCTCCCCACCATGGGTCTTCATACACATTCTACGATGCTGGTCTTATACAGTATTTGTCCTTATTAGTTCACTCAGGGATTTAATCTTTAAAAGGTCCCATTCATCAATTTTATCCTCTTCAAACTGTGCATTTCTGGCTGTATTTGGCAGTCTCTTTATACAATAGACTAGCCTGTCTAAGCTTGGTCCCAGTTTGTCTCTGATGAACTTTATTTACAGTTTTGGTCTTTAATCTCAGGTCTCCGATCGACCTTCAGTTGAGTTTCGTGTATGGTGTAAGATGTGAATCCTGTTAAGGTTACTTTTGAGACATGCTCTGATTTAGTTAATAGTTTTGCAACAGAAAATTCAGAAAGAGATTTTTATTCTCAGCTCACAATTACAGACGATGTTACGGAAGCTGTAACCCTCAGCAGGGACACATCATTGTCCTTCCCCACTTTATGAAAGTTGGTATGTCAAAATGCCTGAGAGTTTGAGCTCTAGAATAAAAAGAGCTATGCTTTTATTCTTTGATTGTTTTCCCCCCACTGTTTTCCAGGAGGCTTTGGACAAGTTAGTTAACTTCAGGTTCTTTATCTATAAAATAGAGATCATAGCACATAGGGTGGTACGTTGGCTCTCATGGTCTTGTTTCTGTTTTCTTCAACTTCAGTTTGAACTTGTATGTGAATACTTAATGTCTGTTCTATAGTCATCCCAATACCTTTTCTGACTCATGACATTGGACTTCTCAATCATCTCTTTCCACAATGTAGGAAGTATTATTCCTGTGTGCTCTATCTGGTGAGATCTACTTTGCTGTTGTTGTTTTTGTTAGGTGCGGTTGAGTCAAGTACAACCCAATGAACAAGAACATTATGAACAACAGACCTGACCCCTGTCCAGTTCTGTGCCAGTCTGACCACCTTCAGTACAGTTGAGCTCATTGCTGCAGTAACCATGTTAATCCACCTTGTTGGGGATTTTCCTCTTCCTTACTGACCCTCCATATTTCCAAGCATGCTATCCCCTTTCCTAGAAATAGCCTCTTCTAGCAACATGTCTGAAGAATCAGGGACAAAACTCTGCCATCTTTGCCTGCAACGAGCACTCTGGCTTCGCTGTATTCAGGACTTATCTATTTGTTCTCTTAGGTCGCTGGTCTTAGAAAACTCTGTTATGTGATCTCTGACAATGTTTCTATCACCATGGCCCTATTTTCTGATTACTGATCCTTTTTTAAATTTGCATACTAATCAGTAGCAATTGTCAGTGCATCTTGATTGCAAATTTTACCAAATTTCAGGTAGCAAAAGTCATCAGTTTTCAATTTCTTTATCTTTGATATTTGTGGTCGATATTAGTATTTGAATAATAACAATGTTAATTGATCTTGTAAGTGTGTGGGTATTATCCTTTCTACAACATTGACCTGAAGCACTTACTGCATAAGGTCAAGGACTGCAGCCTTCAATATGGATTGAAACTCAACATAAGAAAACAAAGTTTCTCACCACTGGGCCAGTTGGCAGCAACATGATAGATGGCAAAGAGATTGAGAGTGTTAAAGGTTTTAGTTTGCTTGGCTCCACAATCAACGCTCTTGGTACCAGCAGCCATAAAACTAAAAGACGAATTTCACTGGGAAAGTCTACTGTTGTA